AACGAATTTTTTAAATTTTTTTTTTTTTTTTTTTGAGACTTGAATTTTTTAGTACAGTATATTTAAGGATGATTAATGGATAATGTCTATTATAAATTTAATTAATTTGTTAATTTTGTTATTTTTCATTTACAAAAAATTGTTTGGTGCTTGTAATTGATTTTTTTGTTGTAGCAAACCCATAAATGATTTTTTTTTAATAAATAATTATTTGCGACAGTAAAACAATGGTCGCTAAAAGTGGTTTTTATTTTTAATTTTTTTTTGCGACGGCAAGATAACTGTCGCAAAAAGTAGTTTAGGCCGTCACAAATAATTTGCGACCGTTGCTTTGTCGTTGCAAAAAGTATTTGCCACCCCCACATTTGCGTCCCCCATATGCGGTTGCATAGGCAGTTGCAGAGAGTCTTTTGCGACTGTGATTTTATTATTTGCGACGGCATGTGGCGGTCGCAAAAAGTATATTTTTTAATAGTGTAAGTTTTTTCATATGCTTCTAGCGGTTTCTGAATTAATTTGTTTTTTTATTTTTCAGGTCAGAAATTTCTTAGAGAGATGCAACATATGGTCAAAGAATTCAAGAACTTAGTTTTTTCAAGTTTTTTTTTAATTTTTTAATATATGTAATCACAATTAAATTTTTTTTATTAATTTCTTTGTATATACTTTTGAACATTTAACTTTTATTTATGAAATATATGACGTTATTCCATTCAATATATGGTTGTGATTCAAAATATAATATATAGTGTGTATTATATTCTTCAAATGCGCGTACAAAAATAATATTGATTATTCTTCAAATATGTCAAATTTTTATTTTTTATCATAGGTTTTATTAGTTATTAATCATACTTAAAAGGTGTGGTCTAAATTTTATTAATCACACTTAAAAGGTGTGATGTAAATATTTTTAATCACACTTAAAATGTGTGATCTAAATGTTTTTAATCACACTTAAAAGATGTGATCTAAATATTATTAATCACACTTAAAAAATATGATGAAAGCATTTTTTAACACTTTAATAAAACTTAAAAGGTATGATTAAAAAACAAACATCACCCAAAAAAATTGTGATCTTTATCTGTTTTTGTAGTAGTGATATAGATACGATAACAAAAACATACATATTAGGTGCATTGACGAAAGCTTGTCCTTGCATTTTCATTTAACAGTTGATATCCCTTTTCTGTTACTCTCAAAGCTGTGGAAGACACGAGTAAAGTAGGTCAAGAACTTGCATGAAAGAGATGCGTGTATGAAAAAATTCGTTACTTTCACCATATGTTTCAATTTTCTGAATGACCCCAAAAGCATTAAAGAACCACCATGAGTAATGTGTCGTTTTGCATCTTGTCAGTTGCTCCCACCATGTCATGCACAACCACTTTTTCCAAGATCCACCATTGCCGACCACTGCAAACACATTCGGAGAACAGGGAGGTGCATTTTGATTGAAGATAGCTGGCGGTAATACATTGATGTGTTCTTTTTACCATTATTTTGGTAATGAATAAACACAATGTTCTATTTTCGTAACTGGGTAGCACAATGTACTGGTACTGTTTGTTGAAATGTTTGAGTGAATATAATTATTTCATTTTGGCTTGAGTTTGACTACATCCATTTCTTATTTTCCACATCATAGCCAGCATTTTGTGCAATAGTTTTTTTTTGGCTATGAATTTAAAGGTTATGTGAATTAGAGATTCCATCAATTTTTGTGTTTCTTTTCTTTCATTTTGCTCCTAAAATTGAGTTGGAATGGTTAGAAAACAGTATGGTCAACAATTATGAAAACTAGTAATAAACATAAAATTGGAACCACATGTATTTATTTGAATAGTATTAAATAATTTATTTATAAACACTCGTATGGTTTGACTATAAATATCTATATATAACGCTATCGTATGCATCCTCATATATTTATTTGAATAATATTAAATAATTTATTTATATGGATCAAAATAATATAAAGATCAAAATACGGAGATTATGTCATAATTTCCTCCCAAAAAAAAAAGAAAAAGAAAAAAAAGAAGTAGAATTCGATGAAGTCAATCCACTATACTACCAACCAAAACTATGAATTACATGATGAAAGAATTATTTTTGAGCTTTTGCCACTAAGCACTCCATCAAACGCCATTACATGGTTGGGCACTAGTTAAAACGCTTTATATGTGCCATCTAAAAAAAAAACGCTTAATATGTAAACTAAAAGATACTATGTTTGGCGAACACTAATAAATTTTAAATAATAATCTTATAAATTGTTTAATATTTTTTTTTGTTTTTTTATGGATCCGAAGATCTTATTCTAGCGTAAATTTTATCAAGGGCCAAGTATAAACGCGTGTGTTATGCATTGAGGGATAAAAGTGGATGTTCTCATAACGTTAAAATTACTAAACGTAATACTTCAAAAAAAAAATTTAATGTATTTTTTTCAAACATAATACTCTTAAAAATTTAATGTATTTTTTCCAAACTAACACTCAAAAAATGTAACACTCTAATATAATACACAAAAAAAAATTTTAGTATACTTCTCTCAAACTAACAACGTAACATTCTAAAAAAAACTCCTTAGTGTATTTTTTTCAAACGTAACACTCCAATTTAACGTACTAAAAAATTACTTAATATATTTTTCTCACATGAAACATTCTAAAAAAACTCTTTTTTTTTGTTTTTTTATGGATCCGAAGATCTTATTCTAGCGTAAATTTCATCAAGGGCCAAGTATTAACGCGTGTGTTATGCATTGAGGGATAAAAGTGGATGTTCTCATAATGTTAAAATTACTAAACGTAATACTTCAAAAAAAAAAATTAATGTATTTTTTTCAAACATAATACTCTTAAAAATTTAATGTATTTTTTCCAAACATAACACTCAAAAAATGTAACACTCTAATATAATACACAAAAAAAATTTTTAGTATACTTCTCTCAAACTAACAACGTAACATTCTAAAAAAAACTCCTTAGTGTATTTTTTTCAAACGTAACACTCCAATTTAACGTACTAAAAAATTCCTTAGTATATTTTTCTCACATGAAACATTCTAAAAAAACTCTCTAGTGTATTTTTTTCAAACGTAATATTCCAATCAATGTAACACATAAAAACTCTTTACTGTACTTTTTCAAAACATAACACTCTAATATAATACCAGAAAATCACATTAACAAAAATGTAGATATCCACGCTCTACAACCAACACTTCAGCCACTATTCCCTCCAAAAAAATCTTACATCTCACATTTCCATTCTCATCCCAAATATAAATAAGAAAATTAGAAAAATGAATTACAAAAGGGTATTCACTTAAACTCAAATAGTACCAAATCAAATAAATAAATTTTTCAATACAAAAAAGACTAATTGATTCATAAGCAAACAACTAAATAAATCAACATTCCCTTATATGAAATTTATGAGTAAAATTTTCAATTATCTATTATGCCATTTCAATTTCTACGACACAAAATAAAAAAAAATAAAAAACTTACTAAAGTTCACTAAAGTTTGGCATGATTAAAAAAAGACAAAAAGTCAAAAAGTCACTATCCTATTTAAGTCACATCATCTTATTTAAGTCACATCACCTCTCTAACACATCACTTCAAACCCAACCCAAACTCAACCCATATTTCATAAAAAGTCAAAAAGTACACTTATTTTTAGTCTTCCCAAACTAGGCCTAAAATTAATGAAATTACATGGCCGAAGAAGGTTTTTTTGTGGTGTTACAACTTTTCACATGATCATTATTACAGTCATATTTTCAACCAAAAAATAAAATTAAAAATTAACCCAGCATGTTTCAATTCGCTCGCTTTACTTCACCGATATTGATTTCAAATTTTCTTTCAACTCATACAATCATGTGTCATCTAGTGGCTTCACTACAAACAAACACATCCACCTAAAAAAGTCAAGCCAAATGTCTCCTTTGTGATTTAAGCCAAGAAGACCTCACTTGTTCAGATCTGCAATGGGTATAGGTAGTTAATGTAGGACAATCTTCACTGTATTTAAAAAGATTAAATTCTGTTGTGTACAAAACAACAACAAGAATAAAAGAAATAGAGAAAAGGAGAGAATTTGTTTGATTACAAAAATCAAACTCGAAATAAAAAATAAATAAATAAAACCACAGATTTTATTTTGTTACAAAAACAAAAATAAAATCTGATTAAATAAACAAATAAAAACAGAATAAAATTAAACAACTTACTTGGTTAATTTATTTGAATAACTTTTCTGATCAAGTCCAGTATTTAACACTGTGTCCTTAAGACAGATTCGTCCTCTCCACGGTGCTTTCAGAATTTGGACGTCTATCTCCCAGGATGAAATGATCTTACCACAAACAATAGCAGCACTACAAATTGTTTGCCATACGAACACACTAAGTGTTTATACTCTCTCTGACAAGGAAATAATGCAGCAAAATGAAGAGGAAGTTTGCAGAATTATGAAGAACGAAAATTAGCACTCTTTCTTTCGGAAATAATATGCAGCAAGATGAAGAATATAATTTGCAGAGGATGGAGTACCAAAATTGGAATGAAATCCAAATGGGATGCTAGTCTATTTATAGATGCAAAGGTGACTCTTGGTTTTGAATTGAACAGGTATGAAACTTGCTAGATTCAAATTTAAATAGATTTGAATCTGTTTATTCAAACAGATAGAAACGGGAAGGGCTCTGTTTGGATGAGCAATAAATCCAAAACAGTTTAATTCTGTTTGAAAACGGGAAGGGCCCTGTTTGGATGAACAATAAATCCAAACTAGTTTAATTTGAATTCTGGATTTTATTTTAATAAAAAATAAAATTAAATTCAAATGTTTTTGGCCCAAAAAGATTAGAAGCCCAACCGGATGGCGGCGCGCGTGTGGCGATTTTTGGGTCCAATGGGTCTAGCCCATTTTGCCCATAACCTCTCCCTCTAAAACACTTGGGTACCCCTTGAGACACACCTCAAGTATCTCACCCTAAGCCTTATAAACTCTTTCAAAACTTCCCACCAAATCAATGTGGGACAAGCCAATTTACCACCTTAAGGAATTTCCACCAAAACTCCATTTCCATGGAGCACACTTTGGCTTCAATTTCCCATTCACTCGGTAATGGTTTTAAGCAACCAAATATACCACGTGAATCACAACGCGACATAGAACGCGTTACCACTTTGACCCGAGTAAATCGACACTCGGGGCCCACCTAAAAAATAGACCGAACTAAGGAAAAAATTCTGATTTTATCTAGAATTTTATAACCATTTCCAACAGTTAATTGTTAGAAATGAAAATGAAACTCAAGCCACAATAAAAATCAGAAAATTAGTAATACTCAACCTGAAATGAAACAATACTCCATTGAGGCATTTCTGCAAACAATTGTAATACATTATTGTGTAACCCATATGCGAAATTAGAAAACCAAATTCAAGATGAAACAAAGGAAACAATGCCTCTGGTTGGGAAGATGAGTTTGGTTGGATTTAGGACTATTTTAACCACCCAAAAAAATAGACTTTTTAGCTTAATAAAATAAAATATTACATTCAATCTATAATCATTATATTCTTTCTTTTACAAAAAGTCAAAAAGTTATTTTCAAACCAAACTTTTTAAATCCAGACTAAAATAACAAAAAAAAAATCAAAAAATCAACCGACTTCTCAAACCAACCCAATGCAATAGTTGTAGGCGAGCTACGCTCAGATGTCGTTTCATAAACGTTTTGTTTTTTTTGTTTTTTTTTGTTTGTTTTTACGTGTTGGGATTTTTTTTGGACTTGAAATTTAATTTTAGGCTTGAAATTTTTGATTAAACTAAATTATTTATTTATTTTATTTATTATACACACATATATATATATATATATATTTAACACACCCCTTAACATATCCGTTGCACCACTACTTACTCTCTAAAATTAACAAATTCTTAACACATCTTAACAAACATTTGTGAGCCTCACTTTTATTACTTTTTGTCATATAACACACACTTTAACAAACAATTTTAGTTATTCCATTGTGGATGCCCTTATGCTTTAGCTGACTTGGCTGGGTCTACTCACAGTGTACCAGATGTCACTTTCTGATTGGTTTATGGCAATAAATAAATAATAATCTCTCCTTCCCAACTCCTTCCTCATAATTATTGTTCTCTCACTACAAAAGTCATCACAAAAGTCTTCCCAGTTCCTTCCTCACAGTGACCTGGTTGTTCACACTATATTTTCTATCACTCCCCCTCTCATCTTTTCCATCGCAATTGTTCTTTCTCCATTTGATATTTCAAACCCCTCGGAAGAAGTTACGGACTTGATCTGCTTTTTGATTTTTTGCAACAAGGTATGACAACTCTTGTTTTTATTTTATCACTTTACAATTGTCATTGTGTGAGATCTTGTCCGTATAATTTCAATTTTTTTTTTTTTTTTTTTTTTTTTTTTTTTTTTTTTTTCTGGTCTGTGCTGTGCTTGAAGTTTTTATGTATTTTAAGAGCTTAATTTAGGTGATTTTTCAGAATTTAACTACGTCTCTATCATTGTTTTTTGGGTATACTTTCAATCCTGATAGTAGGATCTC